TTATTTATATGATATAAATATTATTAAATTGAAATATTAAATATTATTAATTAATAATAATAATGATTATTAATAAATATATATTATTATTGATATTATTTCATTATTAATTTAATAATTATTAATAATATATATATATTTTTGGTATGATATTAAAAGGGAACAAGATCTTTCCTCAGAATTTTTAGTTTGGGTTTATTGCACGTATGTTAAATTTTCTACGACGGAACAATGGTTCAAGTTATTGGATAAATATCACGAACCTAAAGAAAACGATAAATTTAGCCTGGCATATGCTCTTGGTTGTACTCCAAATTCAACATTGATCAAATGGTATGATTGATGAGAATATTTATTTTTTTTTTTTTTTTTGTTAATGTTCCATTTGGTTGTAACATATCAATAAATAAATAGGTGAATTTTTATTTGTTTATATTATGATCAATTACGTTAGAACTCAAAACGAGTGTTATAATTGTATCTAACAAATATTTGATATGTTTTTTTCTTTTATTTATTATACAACGTGAATGAGTTTGAAAAATTTTATGATTTGACAAAAACAACATAGAATAAGTTTTTATTATTTATTGAAATATTATTTAAAAATTTGTTAACACAAATGTTATTAATAATTGTTTTATATTATTAAAATATTTTGATTAATTTAAAACCAATATAAAAATGATAAAACAAATCCATATATATGAAAACACTTGTAAAAATATAAATTAATTGAATGATGGGTTTTATTTATAGGTATTTATCATCATTTTCAACTAAAGATATTAATATAACACTTATGGCAATCTCAAGAAATCCAAATGCGTTTGATCTAAACATGAATTACATAGAAAGATTAGGAAACTTTGATAAAATGAATAGCAAGTAAGTAAAATAAAATGTACAATGAAATAAATTAAAACTCCCCTTAAGTAAATAAGAAATAGGAAGAAAGAAAAAACAACAACAAACAAACAAACAAAAATTGTACACTTATCAATTACTATATCAACGTATGACGAATGAAATTTATTTAACTATCCATTCTCAATATTTTCTACTTTTTATTTTAGCATCAAGGATTATCTATTTTACGATTTCTCGATTACCATGGACCAAGAGGAAAACGTTAAATGGGTTTGTAAATGTTCTATGAAAGATTCGTTCAATCTTAATGACCCAAATAATATCTATCTGATTTAGTAATAACTATAATTTAGATTATTAATAGAGATAAATAATAAAAATAAAAAGAAACAAAAAAGAGCAGAAAGAAATTACACACATGAGGTACACATATGAATATACACATATACACATATAAATGTGATCTAATGTTATCTGATTTAGTAATGGTATAATTTAGATTATTAGTAGAATATAAAAAGTGAAATAAAAAAAAAAAAGAAAAAAATTACACACATGTGATACACATATGCATATGTAACATATACACACATATATATATAGATATAAATAAACACGTGATTTAATGTTATCTCATTTAGTAATAGTATTATTAAGTTTATTAATAGAGATGAAAAAGAAAAAGAAAAATAAAAGAATTACACACATGAGATACACATATGCATATATAACATATGCACACATATATAGATATATAAATATACATGTGATGTAATGTTATTTGATTTAGTAATGGTACAATGTAGATTATTAGTAAAAATAAACAAGAAATACAAAAAGTAAATGAAAAAAAAAAATACACATACGAGATACACATATGCATATATGACATACACTCATATATAAATACATATATGTGTGATCTAATGTTATCTGATTTAATAATGGTACAATGTAGATTATTAATAGAAAAAAAAATGAAAAAGAAAAAACAAAAAGTACAATAAAATAAAATATACACACACGAGATACATATATGCATATATAACATATACACTCATATATAAATACATATACGTGTGTAATTTAATGTTATCTGATTTAATAATGGTATACAATAATTTAGATTATTGGTAGAAATGAAAAAGTAAATTAAAAACCAAAATTACAAACACGAGGTACACATATGTGTAGAGATATATATATATATATAAATAATACATACACACATTATATATAGGTGATCTAATTTAAGTGGCACGCGAAACTTTCACGAATAATTCACACTGTTACCCTAACGTTTTTCAGCTAACACGTTTCAAAGGTTCTTCGGGCAATAAGTACGATACACTAATCGAGACGATAATTAATGACGTCAAGTTCAACGTCGCTTGGAACCGGAGGCACAAGAACGTGGTGAGAGAAAGAGATTGCTTTCGTTTTCTTCCTTCTCCCCCTTTTCTTTTTTTTTTTATTCTTCTTCTTCTTCTTCTTCTTCTTCTTATTCCTCTTCTTCTTCTTCCTTTTATTTTATTTCATCTACTTGTTTTTTTCTTTCTTTTTCTTCTTTTTCTTATTTCAGATCTACTAAACACGTTACCCCTTTGGCAAACGTGAATCTTCATTCATTTTCTCACCTTCTTTCTATCTATCTATCTCTTTTTCTTTCTTTATTTGTTAGGAATATCTTTAATCAAAAATTTGTATCATTAAAAATTGATAGTTTTTTTTTATTTTTTTGATAATGAATGTAGTGATTTAAGAAAGTATTTGAACACTTTTGATTGGAAATTGTTTATTTAAGAGTTGATTTATGGATTGAATTAATTTGATTCATTAAATATTTAATTACTATATGTATGGTAATTTTTTTTTAAAACATATGTTACGTTATTAATATTTTAATAGGTTTTATTTCATGTTATATTTTAATTTTGAATTAATTTATATTAATTTATATATTTGATTATAAAATATAAGTAAAAATTCATTCATTCCTTCCTACTCAAATATTTCATTCAAACATGTTTGCAAGTATTAATTCCTCCTCTCCTACTCAAACATTTCATTCAAACATGCCTGCAAGTATTAATTCCTCCTCTCCTAGTCAAACATTTCATTCAAACATGTTTGTAAGTAATTAAAAAAAAATAACTAACAAAACATTTGTTAATGTACTATTAATTATAATAAATATATTATACAACATTTACCCCAATATTAACATTAAATGAAGTTAGGACACTTTAGGTATAGTTTCAAACCTAATTAAAATTCATATTAGGTTATAAAATATAATTAAACATTAATTCATTCCCTCCTACTCAAACATTTCATTCAAACATGTTTTTAAGTAATTAAAAAAAATAACAAACTAAACATTCTTAAATCTAGTATTAATTATAATAAATACATAACACCCCATTTACCCCATTATTAATATTGGATGAAGTTATGACACTTTAGGTATAGTTTCAAACCAAATCAAAATATATACAATATACAATAATTATAATTTACATTTCTTACAAATTTATAAAGTAATTGAACCCATAAAAAAGTATTTAACATGACAAATCATCAACATATTACAATAACCACATCTTAAGCAACCTTAAATACAAATTAATAAACAAATTTAAGTTCACAAGTGTTCAAAAAACTTTCATAAATCATTATAAATAAAAATAACATTGCAATATTAAAAACATTCTTCTTAAAACCATTAGATGAACGATCTACTGATGAACATCTCTGATGGGATGAAAGAAAGCAAGGATTGTACAAGAAATTGAAGAAAACACTATAATTAAAAAACTTAAGTTTATTTTTTGTTGCCTCCCTCACCCCTTTAAAAATGATCTAATCTTATTACTAATTGCAATAGGGATCAATTACATACATATATATATTTTTGTATACCCCAATAACATGGGGTGGTTAGGTTAACGTCGTGAACAATGAAAACGTTGAGCTCTAAAGTAAAGGAATTGATTCACGGTCAAGTTGTTATAATACCGCCAAACCAAAACCCTAATAGATTCAGGTCAATGCCACTACTGTTCTTCGAAGTCGTTCATTATGTGGGAAGAGAAGGCCCTCAGTTCTCATGCCACACAGGTTGCAGTACCTGTGCGGCAGGCTCGAGGTAGGATTTGCCAAGAACTCGAAGATAGACCCTCTTTCTTCTTTCCCCCCCCCCCTCTTTCTTTTTTTTTCTTCTTTTTATTTTTCTTTTACTCTTCCTACCCTCCCCCTCCTCCTCCTCTTCCTCCTCCTCCCATCTTTGGATCCACCGATCATTCCCTTTCCTTCTCTTTTACCGTTGAAAGCCTATTCACGAAACCATCGACGATAAAACCTTTCTTTCTTTCTCTCTCTCTCTCTTTCTCTTTCTCTTTATCTTTTTTTTGTTTTTTTATTTCTCTCTTTCTCTCGTTAATTTTGCAAAGAGACCCCACGAATATACTCATCGATAAAAATCGTTTCAACTATACTTCACTTTATTTTAGTTTATTTTAGTTTATTTCATTTTATTGTATTTTATTTTATTTTTAATTTAATTTACATTATTTTATTTTATTTTATTTTATTTTGTTTCATTTTATTTCATTTTATTTTATTTTATTTGATTATTTTGTTTTATTCTTTTTTTCTTAGTTTTTACATTATTTTATTTAATTTTATTTTATTTTAATTTCTTTTGATGACCTCCCCCCTTTTATCATCCCACCCTATTCCCTTTACTTCTCTAAATAATATTAGAAATAATTTACGTAAGTATTCTCAAGAGAATTAAGTATCCGTCGAAATAATAAATTTCATAATTGTGTGTGTGTATGTGTGAGTATGGTGATTATTCCCATATTGTAATTTTTCTTTTTTTTTCTCACGAACAGTTATGTAAAGAAAAAAAGAAAAGCTTACGTAAGTGAGAGTTAATAAAAATAATGACCTACGA